ATTCCTTATGATGGCCAAAAAGTGTCTCCTTTGGCCTTTGTCTCCTGGCTGTGTCTCTGACCACAGACCCATCTTCCTCACTCACTAATCGGCCACCCCATCCTTGATCTATTCCTCGGAAAGCTCAGCCTCCAGCCTGTGTATTTGCTGCTCCTCCTGCCTGGAACACTTTTCCCATGGTCTTCGCATGGCTAGCTCCTTCTCCTCCTTCAGGTCTCAATATGTCACTTCCTAAGAGGGTATCTTTAGTCACCCCCCTGCCCCCTGCCCAGTCACACTGCTCTATATTATCCTGCTCTATTTTCTTCTGGACACCTATTACTATTTGGGATTATCTTGATAATTTAATAGATTTTTTTGTCTGCAGTCTTCTGCCCCTCTCTCATGAGAATATAAACTTGAGAGCAGTAACTTTGATTGACATGTCCAAAGCTATATTCATACCTGGAGGGTGCCCATTATATGTCTATTGCATGAACGAATGCTCCATAGGTTTGTCATAAGGTTAAGAATGTTAATGGGTGTAACGTATTTAAGTTGATAGGAGAGGGCTGCACAGTTACTCAGAGAACTGGGCTGATAGATTCTCTGCCATATTTTGATGTTACCACCTTCATACGTGGTTACCAGGATTAGTGAGTCAGGAAAGAGAGTGTCGAGACTCAGGCCTGGCCTGAAATGCCCTAGACCAGTGAGTTGTGACACCTCCAACCCCAATTGTAGAGAGCTCACTGGCATTTCACAGACCAAAACTGGACTTCAGTGGCCTCATTCTCACTGCAAGAGAGGCTTGGCAATGAAAGAAACATGTGCACATAGTCTTCAGAGAGTTCTACATCTCTACCATATGTGGGCAGAGCTCAAGAGATTTATCTCAGTGCTGCAGCCGATGCAATGCTGTGAGCACACTCCAGCAAACAGGCTTCCTTGGCACACCAGGAAGAGGCAATGCCCGCCTGACAAATCTCCAAGAGCCACCTACTCTTAGCCCCGACCCTCACGCCCATTGGATAACATAGCAAGCGTGTCCCTATTGTATTGGCTGCTTACCCCTTTACATACAGCTGTACTTCCTCAATAAACTTAGATCTGTGTCTCTGAACCTGGTCTCCGGAGTTGTGCATGCAGATGCCCCAGTGCGTTGGGCTCCGTCGTCCTCACCCCTGGGGGACCCCCTGTTCCATCTGGCGCCCGAACAGGGACCCCAGCACGGCAAGCTCCAGGTTGGGTGAGTGACCCTCTGTAACAATGGGAAACCTTCCCCCCTCAGCCCAAGCCCCTCAGGCTCGGGCGCTTCATGCGTTGTTACAGAGTAGGTGAGTAAAAGTAACAGAAAAGGAGCTACAAAAGCTCTGGGATGTCCTAATAGCATTTAACCCTTGGTTGCTAGAAGACCCCATTTGGGACCCCAGTACATGGAAGAAAGCATTACAGAGGATAAGATCAGAAGAGTGGGAAAGTGGGGCCAGAACAGTGGAGATGCGCCTACCCCCCATCAACATGCCCAACAACACCCCCAAATGGCTCTAGGAGAGAACTAACAGTTCAAGCCACTACCTGTGACAGTATCTACTCACATCTGCATGCCTGGGCCAGGGGCTTTCCAGACATTACCTCATGCAGACCTTTCAGAGAGCCCAGGGGCACATCTGAGCAGCAGCCCCTACACCTCCATTTCTCAGACCAGAAGAGCAAGGTTAGAATAGCAAATGGCCTGCACATGGGCCATCTTATAAGTGGCTGAGCCAGAATTTTAGCTGTGGGATTCCAAAGACCCTGCATTTTGCTAGTACACCAATGTTATACTTCAAATCCCAAACTAATACAAACAACCAACATTGATTATGCCATGCACTGTGCTATAGGCTTTCACAGATTATTCCATCTAATCAGAACCACAACAAAACAACCATACCCTGGCTGGGTAGCTCAGTTGGTTAGAGTGTCATCCAGACCCACCAAGGTTGTGGATTCGATGCCCAGTCTGGGCACATACAAGAAGCACTCAATAAATACATAAATAAATGGAACAACAACCTCTCTCTCTCTCTCTCTCTCTCTCTCTCTCTCTCTCTCTCTCTCTCTCATTAAAAAACACATAAGAGATTAGGTGTGCCCAGGGGACACATCTGAGCAGCAACCTCTCTGATACTTCATTTCCTTAACTGCAAAATGAAGGTGGTGATATTGAGTAGGGGATCCATGGGGATATGCATAGGCTGTACCTAAGCCAGTGGCTGGTACATAGCAGGTGATCAATGTAATGTCAGACAGCTGTGCATGGGGTGGAGGGTGCAGAGCGGACTAAAAAAAACCCAGAGGGTGAATACCTGGAATAAGGCTGCACCATGCAGTAGTGGGTTCACATTATATAAAGGGTGTGGCTTTCATTTTCTAAAAAATTTCCATACCTAACAGGGGGGTTGGCTTTAGATTTTCTGGGTGCTTTATTGAGCCCTTACCCTATTAGACACAGTACTGGCAAAGAGATTTTTGTAGATTATTTTACTAATCCTGTGGGCAGCTGGGTGGTAGGCATTGTTACTGTGCCCTCAAGTTCAGAGACACAAATAGTGGCCAAAATCACTCAGCTGGTAGGCAGTGGAACCAAACCTGGCTGTGTAACTCTAAGATCCCCTGGGACACACTAAGTCTGTTTTCTGATGAAAGAAATAGTTTTTTTCAGGCTAAAGTCTCATGAAATCAGAGCTTTGTTGCTGGAGCTCAAGGCACTGTGGGCCTAGGCATAGAGTAGTGGGCCGAGCCACCTCTCAAAACCCAGTGCCAAACTGAAGTCTACCTTAAAGCATTTCAAAAGATTTCAGAGAGGAAGGGAGAGAGAAAGAAAGATAGAAACATTAATGATGAGAGAAAGTCATTGATTGGCTGCTCCTGCACGCCCTACACTGAGGATTCAGCCCGCAACCTGGGCATGTGCCCTGACCTGGAATCAAACCTCAACCTCCTGGTTCATAGGTCGACACTCAACCACTGAGCCATGCCAGCCAGGTCCAAATGATTGTTCTTTAAAACTATTTTGTAGGATGTCCTTAGACCAGTGATTTTTCATCATTTTTATCCCATAGCACACATCAACTAATTACTACAATTGGGAGAACACCAAAAAGTATGCTATATTTTTTTCCAATCAGACCAAAACTTGGTATCATTTTTATTCATCTACATTGGCTGGCTATTGTTGTGTTGGCTGTTGCCATTTTTTTAAAATTGACACTCTAAGGGAAAAGAGGTCAGTTCCACTGACTAAATAGTCAGGTATTGCATGTTTTAAAAATTCTTGTGGTTCACAGGGTGAAAATCACTGCCTTAGATTATAAAACCCAAGAAGGTAGGTACTCTTGCAGCCCAAATAATCTCTGATGTTCTAAAACCATATGTGGCACAGAAAATTTGATGAGAGGAAAATATGTTTATCTTTAATTCAGACATTTTGTAGGCACATTGTATCTTCTCTCCCCAATTTTCATCTTTTAGTTTTGCAAATTGTGGCAGAAAGGGAAAATCTAACATTTTATTGAGTTCCAATGTCAGGAATTGTGAGGAATATGTATACATATACATATACATATACATATACACATACATATACCTATACATCTTTACATATATATATACATATACATATACATATACTGTATTTTTCCATGCACGAGACACCGCCATGTATAAGATGCCCCCATTTTCCAACCCAAAATTAAGAAATCAAAATTTTAAACATAAAACAGAACACATTTTTATTTAGTAATATTTCGCTTGCAAACAATTTTGCCTGACATTGAATAAACTTGGTTGACACACATAAGCCACTATGGTCCTACTCCATAACCTAAGTCTTAAGTCTCTGCTCCAAGTTTGCCCATTTTGCTGGTTTTCCTCTTAAGGCCTTCTCCTGTTTTGGCATCTTAAGGAGTTGTTCTTCCTGTTTTCTCTATTGGCTGATCATACACTCAGTGGGAGGAGTGTCAAATTGTCTCTCTTCTGCTGTATTCCATGCTGTTTTGCACAGCTGATTATATTCAGTTTGAACTTTCAAGAGTAAGGCAATCCCTTACCGGTATGTATCTTTTATTCTTTGACATCCTTATAGGTTTAGAATGCTCTGGTCATGTTGCATCTGCACACTCTCTACCTCTACCTCCAATTATGGCATCAGCTGTCATCAGTAACAATAAGGCTCCTGATTGGAGGAAGCGTGTTTGACAAGGTATGGGCAGCAGCTCCCTCCTTGGCTGACTTCCACGACTGGGTTTGAACCTGTGCCGATTGGCTCCCAAGGGCACCCTGTCAGCTCCCACAGTCCTCCCAGCTGGGTGCTTGAGGCGCTTGGCCCCCTCACATGATTAAGATTAAATCAGAATTTCAAACACATTTCTTTGTTATTTATTTAACAGAGGTGTATCAGATAGCTAGGTTTGCTATAACAAACTAGCATCTTGTACACGGAAAAATGCAGTGCATAGTTATAGACACAGTGTCTGGTCCCAGCCCCTCTGCTAAGGACTGGACCTCCGTGGACGCAGGAATCAGAAGAAGACATGAGTTGCCGCAGGCATATAGGAGAGACTTTATTGCAGACAAAGTAGCCATTGCTCACACAGGACCTATCAGACAAAGCAGTTCTTAAATGTTTTCCACAGGGGGGTCTCTTCTTGGACTTAGCTCAGGGCTTGAAGTTGTTTATCTTCATATTCACACCACATTCTCCTTCTATGTGTCTGTGTCACAATCTCTTCTTATAAGGACTTCAGTTATATCAGATTAGGGTCCACCTAGTGACTTAATTACCTCTTTAAAGAATATTCCTCCAGCCCTGGCTGGTTTGCTCAGTGGTTAGAGTGTCAGAGCGAGTGCCTTTACACCCTTCGGTAACAAGCACACACAAACACATTTGAGAAAGGGATTGTGGGTAGCTCAGTCTGGATTAAAAATTGGTAAGGGATGATTGCTCAACCCTGGACCAATGAACTTTGAACAGGGCCTGGAATCATCTAAAAATATAACAGGTTCCATGAGAACGGCACAGTTGGGCTCGGCAGGAAGAGAGGTCTTAGAGCCAGGCTAGCATGGAGAACAGGACTTTCAAATGGTGAGTTTCCCACAAAGGGGCTGGTCCCATGGCTGACAACCTGAGCTTAACTCCCAGGGGGTGAGAGAGAAGGGAAGACCCCCAGGAAGGTGTACAATCTCATCTGGTAGGTATAATCCCTCCCCACCATGCTCTGCCTGTGGTCCCTGAGCTGGGAAGAGAAATCCTAAATCCTCAGTCACTAAGTTGTGTCTCCAAATACTGGTCAGCTGAAACAGAACTGCAGCCATGAACCAGAATGTGCCTCGTCTTGTGGAGGAAAGTCCTGCTACAGGACTGACCTATTAGCCATCTGTTCCCAAAGCAGGTGGTGACCGAGAAGTCCGTGCCTGCTTCCTGAGGACTGCTCCGCCATGCAGTGGCTGATGAGGCTCCGGGTCCTTTGGGGCACCCACAAATCCTGCCACACCTTACACCTGGCCCCTCGGACCTTGCGCTTCCAGTCTGTATCAGCAACTGGCACCCCGAGATGGAATGACCATGATAGACCTGAGAAATTTAACTTTGCCAGTGATGTCCTGGACTACTGGACTCAAATGGAGAAGGTGAGGAGGCGCCAGTGATGGGGGGAGGATAGGTTGATCTCTCTGGCTTTTCTTGGTCCTCAGAGTCTGAAGGGCACAGACCCGATACAGCCGATACAGGCAGACCTCACCTTACCAGTGTCATGTTAGAAGCTTATGTTTTCGGGTTCAATTCTCAATTCTCACCCTGGCCACTTCTGCACTTTCTGAGACTCAGTGGTTTTATCTGTGAAATGGGGACAATCTTACTTAAGAAATAATACAGCAGGTAAAAGTATCTGGTAAACAGTCAGATAATTGTGAACAAATGCAAAGTTCTAACTACAAGGTCAGAAACTTGATGGTAATGTGAATGCTGACCTTTCACTGATGGGACTGTGAGCCTAACTGGGATTCAACTCATCAAACTGGGGCTCAACTTCAGGCTGCACTCAGAGGGAGGGGACAGGCCCCCTGCTGGTGCCCCTGGGCACCTGACACCTGGAGCTCTCAGAGGGAGGGGACAGGCCCCCTGCTGGTGCCCCTGGGCACCTGACACCTAGAGCTCAGTCAGCCGTCCCACTGTGGGGAGAGGAAGGCCACTGCAGGCCTCACCACCAACTCCTACGTGGGTGTGGCATTGGGGTCTGTCCAGAGAAACCAGTCCCTGCAGCCTCTAGAGTTTACAGGTCTCTTCAGAAGAAACCAAGTGCTTGAAACCAAAAGAGGAGCCTTGATGTCTACCCCAGGGGCTGGGGTGGACAATGGGTGGTGTTCCAGCTACTAAGTCCCAGCTGATGATGATCACAGTGTGAAAATTTACCCAACGTTATCTTTGTACAAAGGGAGAATCCACCTGCAATGCAGTCAGAGAGTTGATGGAATGTTTAAGTTTCCTGCGAATTTAACATATGCATTCACGTGTTTGTGTTCAAGGCTTATATGCCATTCATGGGGCTTCTTCTCCCTCTTTCTTTTTCCTTTCTCTGAGTTTCCATAAGAACTCCCAGGAAAATAGAGCCTTGGT